TCGCCCGTGTATTTAGAAAAATTTTCTAAAAAATCCCTATGGAAATTGGGTTTAATTTAGGGTGATTTTTCTTGAATTGAGAAATATTTTCCTGTTTTTAGGGTGATTTGTCCTAATTTTAAGGTGTAATTTTCTAAAATTAAGGGCGAGTGTTCTGTTTTTAAAGGCAAATGCCCTAAAAAATTAGACAAATTAAAAAAAAACGTGTTTGAGCATGCTTAACTGAATTTGGGAAGCATGTATTTAATTCGTGTATATTCTGGGAACTGGGACTGCTTTAAATTAACAACACCGGCGGAGGAGACCGTTTCATATTATTGTATTGGTGTGTAGCTTATATGGGAGCTGCATTAAGAGGGGGGCCCGATCTATACAGCACAGCCGTTAGAACTGAAAAATCATGTTTGTAAACGAATTAGGGAAATAAATATGAGGAGAAAAAACAACTTACTTTTTTTGGTCATTGCGAGAATCGAACCCACGACCTCTCGGTTTAGAGTCTTACGTCCTACCGCTGCACCACAGACCCATCGCGAAAGACGACGAACAAACTCTGCACACATCTTATTTTCTTGAGGTGTACGTTATAATTTGACTAAACGCAACTAAACCGTATATTTTTTTCTGACGACTGTGACAATTAGTCCCGTTTTCTTGCCCGCAAACACAAAGTATGCTTTTAACTCAGAACTCCCATACGTTTTTAAGGTTTAAAGACTACTTTAATTTAAAATTCGGACGAAAAAATGTACTTAGTATTATAATGTTCACAAAAAAAAAAAAAAAACATAAAAATCAAGTTGAATCACACAGGGTTCGAACCCACAACCCCACGACCTTAGTCCTCATATACCAAAGTTGAAAGCGCAAGTGATTAGACCGCTGGGCTACCGAATTTCACACTTTTAGAGTGATTTTTAAGGCAAATCGCCCTTGTATTTAGAAAAATTTTAGAAAAAAAATTAGGGCAATTCGCCGTTGGATTTAGAAAAGGTCAAAACGAAGCAAATGGAAAAAATCGCCCTAATTATTAGAAAAATAGAAAAATTAACCCTAAAAATATTTTTTTATGGTCACCTGCCTTGAATTTATGGCAAATTTGTCGTGAAAATAGAAAATTTTTCTCAGTTCAAGGACGAAAATTTTTTTAGGGCGATTTTCTAAAATGTAGAAAATTATTTTTATGAGTGTGTGTGGAGCGAAATCTTGTCGATTCCGCGAATTAAAGCTGCAAAAGTTTCCTACTTAGATCAGGGTCACAGGATATTTAATATTTTAAAATTATTTTTAAAAAAAAGGATGAAAACATGAATTTTATTAGTTCCTAAATATTAATCAACTGGTTCCTAACTTGTGAACTCCACCGGAATTGGATGGAATCAGCAACCCCTTCGAGAACTCTGTTTGCTCCCAGGACTTCCCACGCTAATCAACTTCCGTTCCACGAGGATCCCCCCGCCAGAAACCGAAAGATATTCCCACAGATGAGATATGCAGGAATACAAAGGCAAAGATTATGCAATGCACCTGATCCACCCTCGCATTCAGCGATCCTTGATTTGATCTGACCCTCTTTCTTCTCATCTTTTTTAGCAAACAGGGTGCTCCGAAGGATCCCAGTCGCGTTTCCGTTCTCAGGCCCAAGAAAGATTTCCGATAAGTTTCGAATTCAATAACAAAGAGACAGCAACTGCTGCGGTTTCGCCATCGACTGCTGTTGCTGCTGCTTCCAATTAAGCGAAAGTCGAAGATTTCTGCATCTAACAACTGGCAAAGGATTAACTAGCCAGCTGTTGTTGTGCGAAATCCAGAAATCCCGGAATCCCGGCGCAGGAAAATTCACACGGAAGTGAAGTTCGCATCTTCGAGTGGCGACACCTCCACCATCAACCTGAAACAGTAAAAACATAAGACATAAAAATCTTAAAAACTCGTAAAAGAACTGAAGATCGAAAAGCAGCTGTTTTTTGAGCTGCCTGGGAAGAGGTTTTGAGTCCTTCTCTGGATAGATATCCCGCAGGATTCTCTAGGCGATTTGTGAAACGATGTACCTGCTGCAGAGAGTCTGTGGGAAGCGCACATGTTCGTCCTTCGTTTTTATCCTCATGAGAGGCCTCGATACTCGTTTTGGGGCTTCCAGTTTTCTGTTTTCCGATTTCCCGTTTGTGTTTTGCATGAAATCGAATTTTCGTTTCAAGGTTTCCTATTCGGTTCTGTTACATTTGCATCCTGTGTGGGAAAAATCGGATGGGAATTTTTTTTGGGCAGCACCTGCCAGCAAGGAAAAGTCTAGATATTTCGGATACAAAATAAAAAATAAAAAACAAAAAGTTTCTTATTTTTAAGTGCATAAAAATAAAACATTTTTATTAAAAATATTTTAACGAGATGTAAAACATACTATTAACATAAATATATAAAAATTGCAGGCTTCAAAATGCTGTTTCATTACACAAATTTTGTTTACTTTCATTAATGCTTTCATATCATCAACAGACCCACACATTATTGTCTTGTTTATTTTTTATAAGCCTTTCCGATAACAAGTTCAGCAATTAAGCGACACATGCCACCGGAGAAATATCGGCAACAGGTTGCAATTGATCGTTACATCATCCATCTGAACTATAAACAGATCATGAGCGACACACGCTCCATTCACGATACGAAGAGCATGTCCCGCCTCCAGATCTTAAAAAGCCCCTCTTCGGAGCCCAGTGAGTGTCACAAGCCACGCGACTAATTTTCAAGTTTTTCAACCTCCGCACAGGGCCAAGAAAAAATGTTATATCTGCTGGTCGAAACCGAAAAAAAAAACTGAATAATATGCATAAAATACGAGAGGATCGGCAGAAGATGCTGCAAAGTGAAAGATGTTGCCTGTCTGGCGGACTTGGCCAAGTACATGACCCCAATTTCTTTGTTGTTGCTGTCTTATTATTCAAACTGCACGGCGCCCTTCGACGGGTTAAGGGGCCTGGGCCTGCCAGGGGGTTAAGGGAAAAGGGGTCCACGCAAAAAGGATGGATGATGTATGTTGCGCTTTCAATTTGGAGCAGCAGGACATCTGTTTTTCGGAGATGGAGCTCTCAGCTCTCGGTTACCTGCCGACCGCCAACCGGTTTACAGGTGCTAACTTGGCTCTAAAAGACAGGGGGGCCTCGAAGGGGGCTTCAGGGGGTTAAACGTGGTCCGGCGATCGAGAGGCTGCCGTTTGGCTTTGCCCCACAGCCTGCAGGTTTTTCTTCTCACTGCTCCTTTTCATTTTATTATTTCGCCGTTGCCGTTGTTTGATCATAAATTTGTGTTTAATTTAAAAACTTTTCACTCTTCTCGGGTCTCGAAAACTCCCGGTGCGAGTACTTTACTGTCAAATTTATTGCGCGAAATATTTTTTGTTTAAATATTGCAATTACAGTTAGACTTCTTTATGGTGAATTAATTTTTATATATTTTATTAATGTCTGGAGATTTAAATCAATTTTTAGCTTATAAAAAGATTACATAAATTATGTATAAAAGTAACTGTTATCATTTAAGGCGTTATAAAAGTGGATTTTACTAAAAGTAAATATTTACATTAAAAAATCAGTCATAATCTTTTCTATAAACCTAAAAAATCGATTTTACTCACGTTTAAGATTTAATAAAAATGCTTTAAAAATCTCATTTTATGTAAAGAAGGATTTTCTATTTTATAAATGTTGAATCTTGTTCCATGTCAAATAAAATATTTCATGATATATTTTTATCAAGCAGATAGATATTTTTTTTTGCAAAATTGTAGTTAGTGCTAAGGAAGCTTTACTGTGTAAGGAATCGTGGCGGACACTTGAAAGTCTGGCAAGAGAAATTTTGGGTCCTCCTTGTAAAATTGGGTGTTGACTTGATTGGTTTCGTTTTCTGGGGCTTCCTCCTGGTCTGTCCCTTATGCATATGCAAATGTTCCTTCGTTCGATGCAAATTAATGAAGACCGATTTTTATTGTACAAATTTCAACAACTTTATTTCGCGCGAAGAGAGTTCTGGTCACGTTCTTCTTAGCCCTTTGCCTTGTAGACCCATTTATCAGGCGTCTTCAATGAACTGCTGTTATCAAGTGATTTACAATGTTTGAATTATATTAATCTTGTTCTTTTCGTAAGGTGATTGGGCTAATTTTTAATGAGAGTGCGGATAAAAGACCACCAAAGACACGTTTTCTTTTTTAATATTTAAAAAAAAAAAAAACCAAAATATAAAAGTAAGGAAATTGTATAAGCCATATATTTTTATAGAGCCTAAGATTACTTTAGAGCTAATTAAATCTTAAAATTATTAATCTGTATAATATTTCTAAGCAAATAAAATATTCAAAAGTTCTGTACATTATTTTATTCATCAATTTAAAACATTTAACAGTAATACTCTCCGTTTTTGTTTAGAATTTATCATGAAGTTCTTACCAATTCTGACTGTACTCCTGGAAACCTTAACCCATTAAAGAAGTAAATAGAAACGTAGTCCTCGAATCATCCGGTTAATGTAATTTCAATTCCTAATTCATTAAAACTGTTGAATATCATAAAACGGTACCCAAGTTCCTTAATCTATGATTTTGGTCCAACAAATCAATGCGAAGGATGTTTTGGTTTTGGCTATCTGGAAAAACGCGAAATGAAAAAATTGTTAGTAAAGTACCGGGTAGCAGAAGGTCGAGTCACCATGCCCCAGCACAAATTTCCTAATTTTGCCCACGAAACCCGTTCCACAGAGCAGCTGCGCCACCAACTACGTAAGTCAGAGCGAGAGGACCTCAGTGCGTCCCCCTTCCGCAGAGAGGCGAGAGAGCCGGCGGCCAGGCGGAGAGAGCGCGAGAGCAGAAGTGCAGCGCGCTCGCCGTGCAGCAGAGCGAGATGCAGCTAGTCGGCGGAGAGCAGAGAGCGGCGAGAGAGTGGTATATTTTAGTATGTTTCGCGGCCGAGGTAAAACTATAGGGGACTTGGATTTCGGTTTCGGAACTTAACGGCATTACGTTTTTCAACTCGGCCGCGCAAGTAACTCAAGAAAGGCAGCTCCCGAAGGCAGCTAGAGCTACTGAAAAACACAAGTCCCCGGTCCGCGACTAAAACCATTCAGTGTGTGACGCGAACTGCCAATGCAATACTCCAGCCAAATATTGCAGTTTCCACGAATCTTGGCAGTTCTTGATTGAAATTCATGCAAGAAAAATAAAATAGTGCCAGAACCAAGAATCAAAATAAATGATCTTTGAAGAGATAAAATACAAAGTGTTTCCGCCGAAATAGAAAAAAAATACAGCGGCACCGTTAGTTCCCTCTCTCGCTTTTCCCTTTTGCGCTTCTTTGCGTGAAAAGGAGAAGACACGCGAAAAGCTTCGAATTCGCGACACTTAAAAATAAACACACTCGAGGAAATTGCAACAAAAAATGTGGCGCGTGCACGTGTAGCTTGCAACAACAAAACCAGCGGCAAAACAACGAAAACGCTTAAAGCGAATTGCAAAACCATGTGCGACAAGTAACCAAAAAATACACAACATAAAATACAATAAACAATTTGAGTAGTTGCCGCACACACACACACACACACAGCCCGTGGATTATTACACTTAAAGCGACACTCAATCCAAAAACCAGCAACAAAATCATCAATAAACATGCATTGGATTAAATGTTTATTAACGGCATTCATTTGCTTCACAGTCATCGTGCAGGTGAGTTATAAGGTCCAGGGAAAAGCACACATTTTCCCTTCAGCTAGCTAAATTTTTGGCACTTTTCACAATTTATTTCTTCTGCGCACGCGTGCACTCACCGCTGAATTTTTGCAGCTGGCGTGGTGTGCGCGCATGTGTGTGTGGCCAAAAAGGAAGAAACGATTAAAGCTTTAGGGTTGCCAGGTTACTAAATTCACTATATTTTAAAGTAGCTGCCTTAAAATGATCTCAAAATATCTCATTTTGAAACCACTCTAAAATCGCCTTTGCCTTTCAATTCATTTTTCAAACGCTTGTAACTTGAGAACTTTTTGGGTAGAAACAGCTGAGCTGGTATTTTAAGCGGGCTGGCTTTTAGGGGTGGAAATCGTGGATCGGATCATATCACCCTTTTCGGAACGAACATATTTCATAGATGAAAACTAGTTTGGAAAACAGGCGAGGCCAATGGCCAAACAGGTCCATCCCCAAAAATTGTTGAATACTAGTACACAGCGGGTAAATATCGAATATACGTTGGAAAGGTTTTAGAAACAGTTAAGCAGATAAGGGAATATCAGAGAATTTATTCTTTAAAAACTGTTGTAGTTCTGAAAATCCTATCCTTAAATAAACTTAGCATTTCCTGTTTTTACTTACACATTCTAGACAGATTCAGCTTCATTTTGCACTGTGTAAGAACCAGAGATAATCAAAGTCTGCCTCAACATCAAAATTTACCACCAACGGCGTAGCGTATGCCTCTTGAACAGCAGCAAAAAATTATAAAACTGCTCGATTTCAATGTGAGGCTATAGTATGGGCTACAAGCCGATGTTAAAAAGTTGATGATGCTGGGCAACATCTGCCGTTGTCGCTGTCATCTCCTCCTCTTTTCCTCCGCTTTGCATGCGCTTTTTACATGCGATTTTTTTTCGGTTTACTTTACGCTCTGCGTAGGTCAACGCGACACATGCTCAGCTTCACTTGCTCCTCTCCTTGCGATTCTTTTCTGCCATGCTTTCATTGATCTTTAACGCCAGCATCCCCTGGTTACACGGATAAAAAGTTGTACCCAAAACAAGTCTTTGAAAAATGTATTGGAATATGGAATATCTTACTTTTTGTTATCTAAAAATGATATATTTAAAAATAATTTATCAAAAGTTTGATATCTTTTTAAAAATATTCATTTATTTATAGTTGATCGATGATATTTACCCATTTATTTACCGTGCACATTGCATGTGCTCTTGTCCTCCTCCACTCTCCGTTCTCCGCTTTATTTTCGCCCAACTTTGGCACGTTGCGTGCTTTAACTTCACTCGACGACCAGCTTATTTTTTCCAGTCCTTTACTTAGTCGCTAATTTTAACAACGTCCCAAAAAAGTGTCTCGACGCCAACCTCCTGGGGTCTTGAGACTGCTGCGACCAGCTGAAAATGTCTCCCCATATATGGAAACATCTGCCCCGAGTGGATCCCTAAACTCTGACTCATTTCCCACTGAAATTAAAGGTGGAATAGTTTAATTTGCCATTTAAAATAATATCTCGGGCAATTAGGCAGCCATTAGCAATGCAATTTAATTCAATTTTCTCCTTATTCTATAGCGTATTATTCTCACAATTTCTCGACGACCCTTTCTTGTCCCATGCTGCGTTTAAATTTCAATTTAACTATCAAATAACCGTAGTCGCCTTGTCTTTGGGTTTTGCATTTATGCAATTTTCATATTAACATTGAGCGCCGAAGGAATGGAAATGAATGAATGAATGAATGAGAAGACTGGGACTCGTGGGGGAAGCTCTCGTAGTCTTCTCGGCTCCACTCTTTCTTCGTATAACATAATTAATTGCAATTTAGAAGCCGAGAAGAGGAAGAGACGCCTACTCCCACACAATGCGATGATTCACTTGCGCTTGTAACTGTTTCCCAAGCCCGTTGTTAACGGTTGATTATGATGATGAATTTAAATGATTAATAAACAACATACAGTGCAGGGGCATCAAAGCAAACACCTGTAGGAAAGTCGAGGAAAAGTCAGGGAAAATTATAATAAAAATGCGTGCTTTCATACATTTTTATGTCCCCTTGTGTTATATTTTCCTCTCTTTTTTTTACAACAACTGTCTGTCAGTCAAGGCAAGTTGACGTGGAAATGGCAAAATGAGGAGAAAAGAAACGAAGAACTAACTAACTAGTCGCTTCAAGCCTGAGTGATCGCAGTAAAAATAGGAGTAGTGGCCAGTGAAAAGAAAGACAAAGATACAGAGACAAAGAACGGCTCAAGCAAAAGGTAAACAATGCAACGCACTATTTTCTAACACTTTAACAAGTGTCTGTCTCCCACCTGAGAGGTTGGCAGTTCCAGCTTTCAAGTTCCACCTGGGGAACCCCCTCGTAGCCCCACTTCTTTAGCTGTCGGGGGTTCAGTCGTAGTGGAGTTCAGAGTTGAAGGCAAAGGCAAATAAGAAACGGAAAAAGAACCATTACCAGTGCACCTATGCCAAAGTTATGAGGAAGATTGTGCAAGGTGTAACTGAATGTTCTTGAAAAAGTTTCAGGGAAATGTTGATATACGGGCTAAAAATCTTAAATAATATTTTCTATGATTAAAAATTGTTATATTTTTTGATAAAACGGTTAAAAAAGATCAAATTCCCTTGAAAGCGTTTTAATATTTACCGCATATTTTAAGTCACCTTAAAACGGTGTGAGAAACTATAACCGAAATTGGTGTCAAATGCTGGACAAAACTATTGTGGTTTTAACGATTGCATTTTTGTTTTGTTTTGCTTTTGCTTCCCACCATCTTTAAAAAGTGTGTGTGAATGTTTGTTCGGTGTTATGCAAATTGATTTGCTTGTTGTTTTGTTTTTTGTGTACATGTTGTGTCAACTGCTGCGCCTTTGTTTGTGTGTGCCTTTATTGTTTGTCTCATTTTTTGTTTTTTAGCTAAGTTTAGTTTGGCTTTCCACCAGCCATGCCCCCGTCCGCCCGTCCGCCCCCATCCACCTTTCTAACCTTCCTTCCGCTCAATGGTTTTTCTCCCTCTGTCTTTTTGTTGTTTTTCTTTTATTAATTCAGACGCATCGTTTGGCTTGATTGTCTATTAATTCTTTTTGCCTGCTTCTTATTCTTTTCTTTTTTTGCGCATATTTATGCTCCTCTTCAAAGCGCCGTTGAAAACAAGTTTTTGCTCTGGGAGAGCCGCTCTTTCCCTCTCTTTGGAGCAGCTGGCAGCTGCAGCTTGTAAGCTTACACACACACACACTAGCAAAACACGCGACTCCAATTCACTTTTAAGTCACGCTTTGCTCTTTTTGCGCTCAGCTGACAACAACAACTACCGCTTTAGCTCGCTCTCTCCCTCTCTGTGCTAAACTGTTATAGCTTTGGGGCCTCTCTCTGTCCGTCTCTCTTTTGGCGATCTTTCAATATGGCTGCATTGCACTGCTCTTCTTCACCTGGCGTTCATTCGCTTACACCTTTTAACTGCTGCTGCTCTCTCGCTCTCTGCCGCCGCACTGCCGCCCTCTCTCTCGCTCTGTCTCTTTCCCTCGTTTTAACCATCAATGTTGACCGGCAAAATCGTATGCCGTGGGAAACAATTCGGTTTTACTTGTACATTTTTTCATCGTTTTTCTCTGACGTCGACGTCGCCGTCGCCGTCGCCGTCGCTGCCTGTTGCTGCTGCTTCTTTTATTTAAGTTTTTGTTGTGTTTTTTTCTTCTTCGATGTGCTGCTCTTTTGCGTCCGTTTTGTTTTTGTTGGCTGCTTATTAATACATGCACAGAAAAAAAGTAGCTTGAATAGATGTTTACCTTTTTTATAGGATTTATTTATAAAGGAATAAATAATTTAAAAACGCATTAAAATGTAAAAAATATGAATTAGATAATTTTTACATTTTGTGTTGCATTACTGACATGCCAATCTATAATCAAACATTCAATTTTCTTGCTGTACACGTTTTTCGTTTTGTGCCCGCGTTCGTTGCCTAAGTCTTTCGTTTTGCGCTTACATTCATTCAATGCTCCCTCTCTTTCGCTCCAAATTCCCTTACAATTACAATTGGAAAAGCCTTTGAACAATGTTAGCGCCATCTTAAGCTCTACTTTTCCGGCTGGGATTACGATTACACCTGCGATTCGACACAGCATCTGTGGACCGCACTTCTGCTTAATTGAGCAATTAAACACCCGTGTTCCTACAAAAGCCGAGAAAGAGAAGAGGAAAACCCACAAAACTTCCCAAGCCACATGTGGAGCACTCGACAATAAATAAGTGAGAAAGAGAAAGAGAAGGCGACTGTGGTGCTCATGTCTTGTTAACAATTAAATTGTCGTTTTAACAAGCTTCACTTGTTGTGGCTGAAATGTTAATTGCCGAACAGTTATAGAAAACGGAGCAATAACTCCGCAGTGCGCCTATTTTTGGGCATTGGTCGCTTGTCTCGCCCATTTATGGGCCCAGATGATGAAGTCATAATTAAGTTTTAAGTGCCAAGTCCAAACTGAGGTGTAATGGCAATTTCCCTTCGAATTTCCCACTAGGGGAAGTTTTTGAAAAAGTTTTTTTAAAGTGGGGAAAAAAGTATTTTTTTTGGAAATTATTCAGATATGGTAATATCACTGAAAATTAACAACTTCCCTACATGGTAAATATTAAAAAATCAATTAAAATCAACCAAACGACACTTTCGAACACAAGCCTGACCCATTTAGCTAATTTCCCTCACACCTCAAACTCCAAACGGCTTCGAATTAATTGAGAAATTTATGAGACGACGGCTATCAAACAAATTTGCAAATCCAAATATGCAAATATTGTCGGCGCTTCAAAACGAAAGTCGAGCAGAAAGCCAAGCCAAGTGGAATTTATTGCAAACCGAATCGGACCGCAACGGACCGAAACTGAAGAAAACGACCGCTTGCTGAGCATTTGTCATGTGGCCCGGGCTTTTCGGTTTCGGTTCGGTTTTGGATTCATTCGGTTTTGGTTCTCGCTTAATATTTCATAAGCCTGTTTTCGTGTTGTCCTTTGCATGGGTCTCTGAATGTTCGCTGCCGCTGCTAAAAAATTCCTCTGCAATTTCAGTTTTTGTTTAAATACCATGCTGAAAGATTTATCGTCTTGTTGGGAGCTGCATTCTTTGTTTTTCGATTTTTGCCCCTCTTTTTGTCTCGCTTTTTTTGTTGTATTATTTATTTTTAATGTGTGTGCCTTAATGAATTGCTTTTTAATTTGATTTGACTAATAAAATACCCCCTCTTGTTGCATCCGTTGCAGGTTCACAGTTCCGGCAGCTTTGAGTTGCGACTGAAGTACTTCAGCAACGATCACGGGCGGGACAACGAGGGCCGCTGCTGCAGCGGCGAGTCCGATGGGGCGACGGGCAAGTGCCTCGGCAGCTGCAAGACGCGGTTTCGCGTCTGCCTGAAGCACTACCAGGCCACCATCGACACCACCTCGCAGTGCACCTACGGGGACGTGGTGACGCCCATTCTGGGCGAGAACTCGGTCAACCTGACCGACGCCCAGCGCTTCCAGAACAAGGGCTTCACGAACCCCATCCAGTTCCCCTTCTCGTTCTCATGGCCGGTAAGTACTAGAATATCTTAAATAATACGGGAAATATAATACTATAAAATACCTCTAAAGAGCTACAGAACCTAAAAACAGTTCCAGATTTATTGTGATTGCCCTACAGAATTGTCATAAAAATTAAAGGCTTATCCGAGCACTTTCTGCCCTCACTGTTTCCGATGGCTTTTATATTTAGATTTGCCCTGCGACGACGCCAGTCACTCATTCAGTCAGTCAATAAAAATTTCCAAGTTGTCTTCTTCGCCTTTGCGCGTAGTTTTTCGCCAGAAAACTTATTCGTGCGGCATCTTTGCTAATTTGTTTGGGCTTTTTATAGAGTAGCCCCGATCGCTCCCGCGGGAGAGGCATAAACCCGAACTCCCCTGACGCCGCATTCATTTATTTCCGCCGAGCGTCCTTGTCGAGGGTTGTTGGCTGTGGCGCACACGCCGCACCAAACATCTGTCGACTATTAAAAATGCGCTGAAAACGCGTGCGCGAACCGCACCACGGCGCACCACCACTATATCACCGTCACCACCATATTCAGCACCACCACCACCAGTGATCCGATCCCATACAATACGATACGATACTATGCTATATGCTATATGAACTGGCGAGCGACAATTTCCAGATCGCTGGCACACAAGGTTATAACCCACCCTTGGGCTCCTGAAGTTGCCGTTACTTTTTGCCCTACGCTTTCCCGGTTTTGACTTCTCGGGAGATATACACAGTCGTACTTCCCTAAGTCACCTTTTATAAAAACTCTTTATTTGAAAGAAATTTCCTTTTAAAAAATCCCGTTTTTAACACAAAGTCTTCTTGAGTTAAAGTTTTCATAGCTTTTGGATGGTGGTGGTTTCAGTTTAGGGTTGTCACCTTTTTGGTGATTTATTTTTTAAGGTAGAAATGCTACCCCTTTTTATTTTTGTACCCCTCTTCGAAGCGCACGTGTGCTCAATAAATTGCTGAAATTTTGAAATACCTCCACAGACGCTCTTCTTTAATTCTGTTCAGCTCGACTGGCCAAGAAAAATATGTATATCGCGGCTGTGGCTCAGCTCGGCATGCCGTGCATTTCTTAATTATTATTACGACAAGAGGCTCTACATGATGATGGGTCCACCCTAGAAACGAAGAAGTTATTCAAGCTTCAAAGTATTTATGCCAGTAGCAATAACTGGAGTTTGTAACGTATTTTTGTGTCAGTGCGCCCGCAGTTTTAAGGGGTGTTTTTACCTCTCTCTCCCCATATAGGTATTTCTCTATCTCGATCCCCCGTTTGCTATTTCTCTTTGCGTAGACACTTTACTTCCTAATTGCTTAGAGCTGCGCATGTGCAGCGTCACTATTATTATCATTACACACATGTGTGCAAAGTCATGGTCCGAAAAAGGGGGAGGAAAGTTGGGAGGGGGGCTATTACATATTACCACCGGACCCAGGTAGCGAAAGATGTTTGGCACGTGAAATGTGTAAGCTGCATAAATTTTTAGCGGTTAAACTGCGGGTAGGCATAAATAAACAATTAGCGAACTGTGGGCTACCATAATTAAGTTAAAACGGGGAGTCTCGAAAAGCACGCGCCAAATTGTTGATCTTAGGAATAATTTAAATGTAGTAAAAAGCGGAAACTTCCCTCGTAGTATTTATAGATTTTCTAGAAAATTCTAGTTTTTATTTTGGTTACTCCGCTTGTAATCAATTTATTTTTAGTGGAACAAGAAACTCGGTTCTTTGTTTTGCTCTCTAAAATTAGTATTCTATTTAGGCTTCTAACACATTCTAGACTTTATTTCGGTCCGTTTCCGCGCACTTTCAACTTCGAAATATTTCTAGGTCAAACTATAAATTTAATTATAGTATGACTCTGTCTGCAGTTGCCGCTGTGCTGCTGCATCAACTAATTTAATGTTGCACTTAATTAAAACAACGAAAGACGAGCCACGCATGCCTGACGACACGCCAGAAGATATGGTGGCAACCGATGTTGCATGTAGGGGTGGGGTGGGGCGTAGCCACTCCCCCTTTTCCGCCACCGCCCTCTGCCCCAGCGACTAAAAATAGTCAAGCAATGGCAGGCAGCATTCATGCTCCTCTTGTTCGTATTGAACTTTGCTACTTTAGTCCCCCCTTTGCGTCAGACGACCGTCTTGTCTTGTGTCTTCTGTCTTGTGTCTTGTGTCTTCGGGCTGTGTCTTCTGAGAGCCAGCAGTCCCCCTGTGGCTGTTGCTACGTGTCTGGGCTACCACTCCTACTCCTGCCGCAGGGCACTTCACCCTATCCAGATCCCTATGCTCTGTACGCTATATGCTATATGCTGGATATTGACGTTGATATACAGCACCGACGCACGCGATATTCACTAAGCGGCCGCTGAAGCATGTTGCCTCATTTATTTTTGGATCTGGCATACGCCAGTGCACGAGTGCAATCTATAGGTATATACTTAACTTGCCAAAGGGAAAACATTAAAGGTAAAATACAAACATTTCCCTGTAGTTTTAATAAAATGTCCCCAGTTTAAAAAACAAAGAAAACTCTTAAATTGCCAGAGATATAAAATATAATAAGAAATTTCTGATCTAAGAAAATTTCCCTTTGCAAGAACATAAAAATTTCCCACTATGGGAAGTTTTATGCAGACAACCAGCTGGCACGTAGCCACTGTTGAAAACTTTATTTCTCTGCACAATAAACAATAAAACCAATAAACCATCGCAGCGCTTCATTTCATTTTAGCCATTCGCTTGTTATTACCTTTCCTGCTCATTTCCCATTGTGTGCCGCTGGTTAAAGCCGATCATCTATGTCTGATTTGCTTCCTGTCGTGCCCATATAAATTTTACGTTTTACGTTTATAAGCAGCAGCGACAAATAGAAGAGATCCGCGAAAAGTGCAATTTCAATGTCTGACTGCCTGACTGTCTGACACACACAAATGCAATCGTTATGCAATCAATCGGCAACGGTGGCTTATCAACCAAATTAATTCTACATCTCCGGTTGGCCCAAAGCCCACGCAAAATCGAAAGTTGGTCGAAAAATTAGTCATTTACATGCGAATTGAAACTCGAAGTTAGGAGCTCGGAGTTCGGAACTCGGAGCTCGAAGCTCGAAACTCTACGCAATCCAAAACTACAACACACACGCCCAGTAGACACCTCTGCAAAAGTTTCCATCGGCTGGTTTTCGCTTTGCTTCGGATTTGGATTCAGATTCGTATTCGGATTTTGTGTCATCTCTGCCGGTTTTTCCAGCAGCGCTGCATTCGAAATCAAGTGTGAATTGAGGGCGCTGCCTGCCGGTTGCATTCGAAGTTGCATTTTGCCGATTTGCATTTGAAATGCATTCGCATTGCATTAGATTTGGTGGCCAGCGGGGCTTTTGGTTTGGGATTGGGTGATTGTGTGGGCGGCCCTGTCATAATCTCTTTATAATGAGTGCTCTCTGTGGAGGCGGCGGAGCTTCCCATTAGCTCGAAATTAGTTATAGACGATTCGGTTTGATAAGTATGTGTTTGGGGGTATTAGTGCCTGTCATTTCCCGTTTAGATTTGAACTTTCTTTAACCATTTCCTTTTCTCTCTTTCCGATTTGCAGGGCACCTTCTCGCTGATCGTCGAGGCCTGGCATGATACGAACAACAGCGGCAATGCTCGCACCAACAGTAAGTAAAATAAATATATTAAACTACCTTTCGGGTCGTGAAATTACTTCCTTGAAAACGTGGCCCAAAGTTATGAGCTCACCATCATCCTGCTTCCTGTGATGATCGAAAGCTGTCAAAAAAGATCGCAAAAACTAACCTGCAACTTGATACTTGCTCCTCTTCGCTCAGTGTAAGATTTCCGGGGTATTGAGTGGTTTTAAATAACCAACAACACACACTACACACACATCCCCCGATAATCGAGGGCCAGACTTTGTCGCCTTTTGTTGTCTGTGCCTGTTTGGAACGGAAGTGTGCTCGAAGTTGAGGTTAGCCCATCCCTCGCTCATTTGCTTAAAATGCAATTAAGCCCTCGGGCTCACGAACTAAACGCTGCTAGTAAAGTCCGATTGTCTCGATCGAGAATCCAGGAGATCGCAGCGAGATCGTGTGTAATCCATCTTGGAAACAATGCTACATGAATCTCTGTGTAGTAACTGATTGTCTTTCGGCGATAAGGAGACCACACAAGGATCTAGCCAAGAAGCGAAGAAGAAAAAATCCTTGACAAAGCAAAACGATTTTTCTTTCTTTCTTCAACAAGAAAAAACAAGAAGTAGAATTCCTCAGTTTGGATTTTAAAAAACACTTTTTTTGTGGCCGATTTTCCCACACAATTTTTGATGAAAGAGCGGAGGAGAAGCTACCTGCTTGTTGGGGCTTAGCTACCTGCACTTTCTTTTGCTTCGGGATTTATGGAGTTTTCATAGGAATTTCTAGCATGTTGTATTCTCTTTGTTTTTCGTCTCGCCCTTTTTCATAAGCCCTTTTCGATTTTTCTATATTTAGCTTGGCCTATTCCGTAAAGGAATTTTAATTGTTTTGCTGGGAGCTCCTTAACCACTCGATTTTCACTCGGCTTCCCTCCCGCTGAGCAAGGCTAATTTCCGAGGCGGTCCCAGGCTAATAGATCTTTATCGGTACAAGTATCGTACTCTCCGAACTCCTTGCCCCCCGAACAGCAATTGCAATTTCAATTTCTGCACACCGAGATTTCCTAGTCTCGCCGCCTGTCAAGGATTAATTTCATTATTTAAAAGTATGCAACATAGTTTTTTCCTCCTTTTTGCTTTCGCTGAATGCTCGCCGAATGACGATCTCCCGCATACTTGGACTTGCATAGCAAATTTACGCCAACGAGTTTAGCTCTTTTTTGTTATATTCATTTAACATAAATTACATAAAGGCGAGGAGGCTGAGGGGGTGAAAGGGGAGGGGCACAACGCACATGGCGACCTTTTCGCCAGGTTTTCGCCCATACCCCGAGGCCAGCTAAACGGCCAAGAGCCAAAGGAACCGGACCTGCTGGGCAAAAAGAATCGGAATCCCAGTTCGAAGGCAAAGGCACTGTGCGAAAATTACAAAATTAACATATTAGCATAATTTTGGGTATACCACATAAAATTTTTATGAAAAGCGTTTTGAAAATATTTAGAAAATCTTGTTGAACAGTTTAGGGTTTTATTTTTTAATCCCCCATTTAATTAAATCACAATTTTCGTACCGTGTAGTGGGTATTGCAAGGTGATTCTCTGGCCTCTCGCCTTGATGCGTTCAGAAATCTTTCAACTCATGCCTCTCCAGATCCGAGATTCTCGCCGGACTCTGGCGGCCTCTTCGGCTTCCTCACCTATCCCTACCTACCAATTAATCTCTGCCAATGCCAAAGTTGTTAGTTGCACGTTGTTGTGGCCGCCGATCGCTGCTCTGCCTCTGCCGCCCTGCTGCTCTCCTGGTTCGATGTTGTTAAAATGCTTATCTTTTAATTTTAACTCATTGGATCAAGAAGCGGCAGCCCGGCAACAAGAGCCCAACTTCTCTTTTTCGACTTGGCTTCCTTCGATCTCTTCTGTCTTTCTGTCTGTCTGTCTGCCACAAAACTTGTCGTTGTTGTTTTCGTTTTTGTTGTCGTCGTCGTGTGTCTTGATAAAATGGTATTTTCGAAAAAATTCCTCAAGTCCAAGTCAGCGATACTTGGGGAGGCGGATGCTGCAAATAAAAAATGGTTTGGGGAGGCATTTTCAAAGGGGGGATCCGCAGATCGGGAGTCAGAGTCAAGTTTGGATTTCTTGTTGCAAATTTGTTGCAAACAAATTTCACTCATTTGTTGACAAAGCGATTGAAGAGGGGAGAGGTTTTTTTCCAATACGATATAGGACACTCGCTTAAGATATTTTGATTTCTAATTACCTCCCTGGAGAAATTCCCACAAAAATCTCAACATTTCCGCGATCGTCGTCAGTCATTGCGAAAGTTGTCACACGCCGCTCCTTTCCACAGATAATTATGAAAATGCAGCTTTGCGTAAATATTTTCACAAAATTTGCCTGATATATTTTATTGCACGTTTTTCTGCAAACTGGCCAAACTGGCTGGAAAAATTGTGCGTCTCTTGCCGGCTTGTCTAATAACCTGTCATGCCACAAATCCTATGGGCTTTATCTGTGTGTGTCGCTGTTGCAAATGTAAATAAAACCACAAAGTACAATTCAATTTTTTTTTGTTTTTGGAATGTTGTTGGCTGGTGCGATTTTTGCATTGAATGCTTTTCCATGTTGTCGGCCCCGTTCGTCGGCAGGTGAAGCACAGCACACACCACACACACTCGCCAGGTTTTTGGCCAAAAAATGCATTTGCCAACGGCTAACAGCCAACAGCTAGTGGCTCGAGCAACTGGCTAAGAATTCTTGTTGCTGCATTTGAGTTGTGCATATTTTTGGTAATTAATTAGTGAGTTTTTGGAGTTGCCGAATTTTTTATTTAATATTTTTATTGGCCAACCAGTTGGGCTGCTTGTCCAATGGACACTCGCTCCATATGTGAGGCCCCTGTGTAAAATATAGCTTTGACAATATGCTTTGATATATTTGGGCAAATATTTTTCTGGTCGCTTGCTCAATAGTGAGATCGGTATTGGAAAAATGGTGGAAAAGTGAACTAGATACCGCTCTTAATTTCACTTTCAGTGCTCTAATTTCTCAGGGGCCATTTAAATGGGGGTCTCCTCCGTTTTGTTTTGTTCTTGGTTTTAACATGTAAATTCCAGAGAGATTTATGTAGGATTTTCAAACAGAAAACTTGACTCTGGCTTGGCTTTAACTTTGGATTTAGCTTTAGCTTTAACTTTAACTTTGGCTTAGCTGCATGCAATTCGAATAGTCATGCACCTGCAATTTACTTTATAGACCATGGCATAATGTGGCTGCACATGTATCTGTATCTGCATCGGTGTCCGCTGCAGTATCTGTAGATACGCGACGCACACAAACGAGTTGCCAGCCATCCCAAAGTCTCGAGACCGGTCGGCGAACAGCTGAAAAATGCCTCGACGAGCTTGGCTGGCGGTCTGCCTGTTGCCTTCTTTTCTTTTATTTTTTCTCTTTGCTGTATTTTAGCCATGCCCCGTGTCTGTCTGCCAGCTTTTGCCTCTCTCATCGCCAAATACCAAGTAGTACTCAGTACCCTTACCAAACTGCATACCTCGGCTTTGAGCACTTGACTCTGTGACAAGCAATTGCATTTCGGGGGTTTTCAAGTTGCCAAGCGAAGCGAGATTCGTTCGATTTCGATTTTTGGTTTTCCACTTCCATTTCCCATTTGCAGCATTCCAAACAGAGGTTTTTTTTTTGGCCCCGAGCGCCATCTCATCGGATCATCTTTAACCCAATTAATCTTCATTAGTCTATCGCCGGGCTCAACTTGTTCTCACACACTTATCATGGTCTAAATCTTTATTTCCAGATCTCCTCATCCAGCGGCTTTTGGTGCAGCAGGTACTGGAGGTGTCCTCCGAGTGGAAGACGAACAAGTCGGAGTCGCAGTACACGTCGCTGGAGTACGATTTCCGTGTCACCTGCGATGCCAACTACTACGGATCCGGCTGTGCCAAGTTCTGCCGGCCACGCGACGATTCATTTGGCCATTCCACCTGCTCTGAGACGGGCGAAATTATCTGTTTGACCGGATGGCAGGGCGATTACTGTCACATACGTAAGTACAAAATAATACCATGTGGGTGGGGGATCTATTATAAAAGGTTAAATGGTAAAGTCAAGGGAACCTTTTAAATATTAGCAAGAAAAGTACCTAGAACATTTCTATGAAAACTATTTCATGATCTGTTGAAACATCTTCGATAGCTTAGATATCTCGACCTTAGATATCCACACGGATCAATAGCCTCCATATCGCCACTCCACGCATTTTTTAGCCCGAAAACACTTGGTCCGCTCTGTTTGTTGTTGCTTCTGCCGATCTCCCGACTCAAGTGGCTCAAAACTGAAGTTTATTTATTTCTTTTTGCCTGCCAGCTCTCATTATTATTGAAAATCACTTGCTTGTCAAATCAAATGAGATGATTGTACACAATGCCCAAAAACTGCTGCCCCGAAACGAATTAAAGTATAATTATTTTCGAATGCGTACGGCGAGATGAGTTGACAAAAATACGAAACGAAACTGAAAAATTTGAATACAGAATACAGAAACTGACCATCAAGTGGGAGGCGGGGGAAAATCAAAGTCAAACAAATAAATTAAAAATCAATGAAGTTCGGGAAACGAAAAACAAAATGGGGAAAAGTCATTTGTCATTGGAAGAACAAAACGTCTAACGAACTGCCGAGAGCAGAAATTCGGGCAGCCCTTTGTAGTTGGTTGGTAGTCAGTCGATCGTTGTTTGGCTACCTTTGCTTTACCAACATTTTAAACTGTGAATCAGAGCAGACACACACCATACCATAGCATACCCCATAACCATGATGATGATGATGAGGAGCAGGGCATACAAAAATCTTCCCACGCCAAGTGCAAGGGCCCGGGTTTTTGGACCAAAAAGGTGTGGTGCCGGTGTATCTGTATCCGTATCGGTGCTAGTGGTGGTGTATCTGTGCGAGTGGACCCCTTACGCAGACACAGATACAGATACAGATGATGATCAAGGTTTGAGTTTGGGTTTGGGCTGCTTTGCTTCATCGTCTGCATGCCGAGCATTTCTGAGGACCCGAGAAGAAGCGTCGTCGACCCAAGAACAAACTTCCTTTAGGGCTGTTGTGGCAACGTCTGATTACACCTTAAATGTCGTAGTCTCCTGAAGACGACGACGGGATTCTTCTTCTTATTCGGTTCGATTCTTCTGCGTCCTCTCTTCTCGTCTCTTTTTTTTGTCTTTTCTGCTGCCTTCTTTTTTTCGGGGCAGATAATTTTTGTGTCCTGCTGCCGGTTTAGCAAGTTGCCCAGCGGAAGAGGCAGCTGCTCCTGCTTGCTATATTTTATTTTCAACTTAAATGCGCAGAAATGAGCTTAAATTAAGGCACACACTCACTCGCACACACATGTGCGAAAATTATTTTCCAGCAGCAGCAGCAGGAGCAGCAGCAAATAAAAAGCCCAAACGTGCAGGCTGCAAAAACAAAACACCGAGTAAATTGGCCCAAAAGGTTTTGGTTCTTCCTCTTTGCTTTTCGGCCAAGTGCGTATATGTGTGTATGAATGAAGTTAATTTCAAGGAAATGAGCTATTTTGACTAAAGTTCATGAATGACAGGCAGATGGTCAGTGGGTGCTAAAAAGATACATCTGCGGGAGATACAATAAAAAGAGTTTTTGAGAACCCTTTGGCTACCAAAAGTGAAAGTAAGCGGAAGAGTTCGAATATGCCATAAATATATATCATTCGATTAGCGCGGATTATCTCTGTCCTAAGGCGTGTGAACTTCTTTTTCACTTTCTGGAAAATCTATTTCAAGCCCAGCCTCCTTCGTCTACTGCGGGCGATGGTAATAAAAATCATTGGCAATTGCCAATATTACGCTTTTTCTCTACTATATATATTAAAAGGGGGCAGAGCAGCAGCAGCATCCCCCTCCCCGTTCGCAGAACACGTTTTTGTGATTTTCTAGCAATTTTCCTGCTGCCTTCTGAATGAAACTCACTCGATTTTAAAGAGGAGCATCATCATCTTCGGCGGCTTCGGCGGCTCCTTCCACGTTCTGTTCCACGGGCTCCTTTTGCCATTGCCTTTTTTAGTTTTGTTCACGACTTTTGTGCCCCTTCTCTAGGCCCTTGTGGCAACTCCCCAACTTCCTGCCTTCTGCTGCTGCCGCTTCTCTCGCCGGTCGAAACATGTTTGCCACATTCTTCGGAGAGATCCCAACTCCATCTCCAGCCCAGCTTCCAATCGAAGTTTTCGTCGAACCTTTTAAGCTTGGGAATCTGTTTTGCTGTTTTGGGCCACGGCCTCCGCCTCAGCTGCTCAGGCTGAGGCTGAGGCTAAGGCTCAGGCTTCTGCTGCTTCTTCTCCTGGCCATGGGATTATTTCATTTTGTGTGTTTCCTTTTTGGCCTTAGAAACAAGTTATTCCTGCTTGGCTTAAAACACTCACACAGTGCCGATTGCCGAATGCCGAACGCCGAGAGTTTGAGAGCCACTGGCCATGATTCATTTTTTATAGTCTCTGTTTTTTATTTGTATTTTTTTCTAGTCTGTGCTAAAACGTTTTAAACGTTTTCCTATTGTTTAGCGAGCTGCTTTTGTTTTATTTCCCAGAGACATCTTTTTTTCTGTCTATTTTTCATTGCCAGACGCGTGAAAAAGAAAGTTTTTTCGGCACTTCTGCCTCTGAATTGCCTCAATTTGATGGATCTCGATGTCTGTGAGTGGGTTGTGCAGCTCGAGTCGAGTGGGTGTCCCCCGGGTTTATGTTTTTGTTTCTCTTTTCTTCGGACAGGTGGGGAGTCTATTTCAAAGCCATTTAAGTTATTTTTTTGGGAAAGTGTTTTACCCCCACCACCCGTATTGTTTACATTTCAATTAATTTATATTTAAATTTTCCCCCTCTTTTTTATTTGCAGCCAAATGCGCCAAAGGCTGTGAGCATGGACACTGCGAGAAACCCAATCAATGCGTGTAAGTATTTTATTTGATCGTATTTAGTTGATTAGGCCTTTGTGAGCCGATGGTTGCATCAGGAAATATATCATCAAATTTAATTTGCTGAATTAAGATGGTTTATTAAAATGTTTTCATTTTGAAAACTTGATACATCTTCCGAACTTTGAGAAGAAAATGCTTTCAATTAAGCCAAAGCCAACTGTTGCCAACTGCAACTAACGGGTTATTTTGCCTTCAATTTAATGATGATTCTTGTCCTCCTTGTGTTTGCACGTTTTATTTGTTTGTCTTTGTTGTTTGCCTTTGTTTTTGTTTTACCTGCCCACCCAGTAAAAACAACAAGAAAAACAGCAACAACTATCATGATGGGGCACACCTTTTCAATGTAATGCTGAATGTTTGACTGCTACCGTGAGCTTTGCGAAAAGGGCAGAAAACACTTTGCTGCTCTTTTATTTTATTTTTATTATTTTTCTTTTTTAGTTTTTGCTTGGATTTTAATGCACGTTTTTTACCCGCGCTCGTTTGTTCGTTCGGCGCCCGCAGAAATTCTTTCGGTTCGGCGCGATGTCATTTGATTTGGCCAGGGTTTTGCATTACAATTTTGAAGCGAAGTAAAAGCCAAGGCGGCCAAATTGAATTACAAGTACCGAAGTTTTCCCACATTTTTGCCCATCAAGGTGTAAGCGAACACTTTTGACGACGCTGGCAAATATTTTCAGATATTTGCAGCATACAATTTCAACTAAAAAACAGCTGCACGAGAATATAAAGTTCAATATGGCTAGACTTTGTGTTTTTACATAACTTTTTTTATCTATACCATAGGTTTATTTTCTAATAATACAATGGATTGTGTGCCAATGTTACCTCTCTAGCAGCAAAGTGCTGAATTGATTTTCAAACGTCGAGAGTAGAGGATGTTGCCCATTATTTATGCATTATGTTGGCCAATAAACTTCTCTCCACTGCCAGGCGGAAATCAAACATTTTGTGGTCCGCCGATAATTGTGCCAAATAAAAAAGAGCACCAAAATCAACACATCATTGTGTGGAATGGAGTGGAGTGCCTCCAGTGGAGTAAAGTGATTGGTGGAACTGTTTTGTGAATCGAATTGTTAGCTGGAAACCGCAGATACGCCCGGGTATGCGTGCCACTTAGCCAGGTTGTTTGATGGTGGGAATATTTTAATAATTCTAAGCGCATACAGCACACATTTGCTAGTTGGCAACGCGACGGTTGCTTTTTTGACATTTCTTTGTGTACACACTGGCTGACGCATATCAATTACTACTTGTCTCCCAGTCAGTCTGTTTGTCTGTTAACTTGTCTCTCCAACTCCACCGCTTCCACCCACTCCGCCGCCCGCTCTTTCAACAGGTTAGCTGTCTTGGTTTGAATTATTAACTATTGAAATCTTTGTGGGTGAAGGCTTTTTAGCCTCACAGTTGGCAACACTTGCATCTGGCAATGCGTGCATGTGCGTGCGTGCCTGCTTTATTTGTTGCAGAGGAAACACTTTTTTTTTGGCTTGAAATCAATTTATGATCGTGAGAAATGCAAAAATTGTGTAAACTCCCTCAGCTCTCTCTTTCTCTTCTTCGTTTTCAAGTGTGCGGATATGACTTCTTGCAGAGACATTCGTTTTATTTCAATTGCGAACGAGACTTTTTCAAGTTGACAAGCCATCTTCCTTTCCCCCATCTCCCCCTCTCTTTCTCTTCTTTGCTCTTTTCTTGCCCATCTTTTGCCTCTTTTTCGACTGCAATCAAGCGTGGCATGCAAACAAGTGTACGTGGGGGAGGGAGCGGGATGCAGAGATGCGTGGAACAGGTGATGGAGCACTGGCCTTCCGTCCTCCTCACTCGCATTTAAAAGTCAAAAGTAAACCAGCGCTCGCGGCGCTTCAATAAACAGAGTCAAAGATCTTTAAGTGTATCTGTGGATTTCTTTTAGTCTTTTGAAAAAGAAATGAAAAGAATAAGTTTAAAATGGTGTCTTTAAAGCGAGTAAAAGAAAAAACTTTTAGTTACTCATACAGCAGCATGGTCACATTTGCGCTTTAACCGTTATTTCTTACCCACATCCAGCTACGGTCACACTAACCACCCCCTTTTTCCTTTTTTCTCTCTTTTTACAGTTGTCAACTGGGTTGGAAGGGAGCTCTGTGCAACGAGTGCGTTCTGGAACCAAACTGCATCCACGGCACCTGCAACAAACCCTGGACTTGCATCTGCAACGAGGGATGGGGTGGCTTGTATTGCAACCAGGACTTGAACTACTGCACCAACCACCGACCCTGCAAGAATGGCGGAACCTGTTTCAATACCGGCGAAGGATTGTACACCTGCAAGTGCGCTCCCGGCTTCAGTGGCGATGATTGCGAAACTGAGATTTACTCCTGCGATGCCGATGTCAATCCTTGCCAGAATGGCGGAACCTGCATCGATGAGCCACCCACGAAAACGGGCTACAAGTGCCATTGTCCCAGCGGCTGGAGTGGAAAGATGTGCGAGGAGAAAGTGCTCACCTGCACGGATAAGCCCTGCCATCAGGGTATCTGCCGTAACGTTCGTCCCGGTTTGGGGAGCAAGGGTCAGGGCTACCAGTGCGAGTGTCCCATTGGCTACAGTGGACCGACCTGCGAACTCCAGCTGGACAACTGCAGTCCGAATCCCTGCATAAACGGAGGAAGCTGTCAGCCCAACGGAAGGTGTATTTGCCCAGCGGGATTTTCGGGAAGCAAGTGCGAGACGAACATCGACGACTGTCTGGGTCACCAGTGCGAAAACGGAGGCACCTGCATAGATATGGTAAACAAATATCGCTGCCAATGTGTTCCCGGATTCCATGGCACTCACTGCAGCAGCAAAGTCGACTTGTGCCTCATTAGGCCGTGTGCCAATGGCGGAACCTGCTTGAATCTCAACAACGATTATCAGTGCACCTGTCGGGCGGGATTCACTGGCAAGGATTGCTCCGTGGACATCGACGAGTGCAGCAGTAATCCGTGCCATAATGGCGGTACCTGCATGAACCGTGTCAACTCCTTCGAATGCGTGTGCGCCAATGGATTCCGCGGCAAGCAGTGCGATGAGGAGTCCTACGCCTCGGTGACCTTCGATGCCCACCAATATGGAGCCACCACGCAAGCGAGAGCCGATGGTCTGACCAATGCCCAGGTGGTGCTCATCGCTGTCTTCTCTGTCGCGATGCCTTTGGTGGCCGTGATTGCGGCCTGTGTGGTGTTCTGCATGAAGCGCAAGCGTAAGCGTGCCCAGGAAAAGGACGATGCGGAGGCCAGGAAGCAGAACGAGCAGAATGCGGTGGCCACGATGCATCACAATGGCAGTGCCGTGGGCGTAGCTCTGGCTTCGGCCTCTCTGGGCGGCAAAACGGGCAGCAACAGCGGACTGACCTTCGATGGCGGCAACCCGAACATCATCAAAAACACCTGGGACAAGTCGGTCAACAACATTTGCGCCTCGGCAGCAGCGGCGGCGGCGGCGGCAGCGGCGGCGGACGAGTGTCTCATGTACGGCGGATATGTGGCCTCGGTGGCGGACAACAACAATGCCAATTCAGACTTTTGTGTGGCTCCGCTGCAGCGGGCCAAGTCGCAGAAGCAGCTCAACACCGATCCCACGCTAATGCACCGCGGCTCACCGGCAGGCAGCTCCTCCAAGGGAGCGTCGGGAGGAGCACCGGGAGCGGCGGAGGGCAAGCGGATCTCCGTGCTCGGCGAGGGATCCTACTGCAGCCAGCGTTGGCCTTCGTTGGCGGCGGCGGGAGTGGCGGGAGCCTGCTCATCTCAACTAATGGCCGCCGCCTCGGCAGCGGGCAGCGGAGCGGGGACGGCGCAACAGCAGCGGTCCGTCGTCTGCGGCACTCCGCATATGTAAGGGAAATACGGAGAAATCCGCATGGAGGAGCTAACAGCACACACACAAAGAAAAGACTGGGTTGGGTTCGAAATGTGAGAGAGACGCCAAAATGTTGTTGTTGATTGAAGCAGTAGTCGTCACGAAAAATGAAAAATCTGTAACAGGCATAGCTCGTAAACTCCCTGAAAATTTGTATAGTAATTAGCAGAACTGCGACCTAGCCGTTTTGTCGATCGAGAAAACTCTTTTTATAGATTTTATAAAATGCAATCTTAGGAATTATTAAATTGGAAACTCTACATTTTATGTAGAAATTTTAAAATATTGAAAATTATTAAGAGCATACGAAACACTCGATCGACACGGCAAACGGGAAACAGCTTTTGCATCCTTAATTATTCCAATGGACTGACCTAAGCCTAAAGTTGTATACCATAAAGTCAACCTTTCAAAATTCAAACATTTTTGTTTTTGACACCCCCGTACCCTCGAAAGAAAAATCACTTGACCAATTGCTTGCTAGAATTTAGACCAAGACCAAGAACCACTGGACGACAGAGTCGAAAAGACGACTCTCCATACGTTTTGACGTTTTGCATGTTACTGAAAAATCTGCTTCAATTTAATCTTTTTTCACTTAGTTTGGTTTAAATTGTAAATATTAACGGTAGCCGTAGCCTACGCATAAATGTAAACTAATGATAAAACGATTGAAAAGAAACCTCCTCATTGACGCCGCCCGAAACGGGACTGCTTTTCTATGCAAGGCAGTCGGTCGGATCGGGCGATTTGTAAATAGTACTCATAGGTCACATCGATATACGACATGGATAAGAGAAAAAGATGAAAAAGCCACACAAAAAAACTACATAAATTGACACTATCTCGACTATTTAGTTTCTAACTATGTATATGTAAATGTAGCGAACGAAGATAAAACTAAACTTAAAACGACTCTAGCTTAATGTTAATTTAAAGACCCCAAACAAACAAACAAACAAACATGCGAAGACAAGCAAAACATTTAGTGATTCTATTTTAAGTATTTCTAATTTACCCTACCAACCAATTATTTTTTTTCGATTTTTAAACTTATTATTTTAATCTTTATTTTTTAATTTTGTCCATCTACAAACCCTATATTATTTTTTTTGGCCTATTCCGATTTGGAGCATTTATCAGCGATGAAGTCAATAATATTTGTAGTTAGCGCCTAACTGTAAACGAAATGTATTGAATTTATAAATTGTAAGTCGAAAAGAAAACAAATTTCATGAAAACTCGAAAACTGAATTGGAACAACAAAGAAAATAGAAACAAGACGATAAGCAAAAAGTGAATGAAAAATATACACACATATATACAAACACAAAACAAATGAAAATTCGTGTTTTTTCAAAGTCTCCAAATAGTCGTATTATTATTATTTTTTGTTATATACGCAAAAAGGTTTATACAATTTAATTTTGATCTCAAAACCGAAGACAACCAGACAATGTGCAGCACGAAAGACGCAAAAACTGTTTGCGAAATTCCAAAACGTCAAAATTAAATCAACAAAACTACAGTTAAATTGCAAATGGTTCCTCGTTAGTGTAAAGAAATGAAAACTAGTTGTAAAAGTGCTAGAAATAAACTGTGCAGCTACTTATCTGATAAATCCTACACAGTATATATATTTTTATACGTTTGCTAACGCAGCTCTCTCATCCAATTTTGTACATAAAGTTCTCCGATCCTGTTAACTGCGCTCATATGGGATATAAGCTTTTACAGCCTATAGCCACACACATATATTTTTTATAAATATCTAATTTTTAAATAGTCGTTTTTAGTAATTTATATTTTTATTGCAAATGAAAAATCGAAAAAGTAAACAAAAAAATTAGAGAAACACTTGAGAGAAATTGTAAAAAGTTGATAAGACCTACAAAAAGAAATATTTATACCAGAAGAAAACAAAAATGAAAAAAAACCCATAAAAATAGTAGTTACTTGCATACAATTGTAATTTAGTGTTGTACTTACGATTTAGTCTAAACAATTTTATGAAATTTTTTAGTAATTAAAAAAATGAATTAAAAAAAAGGAAGCAAACAAAAAAGCCACAAAAAAACGAACAAACAAAAAATGCAAAGAAAAAAATATGAAAAAAAACAATAAAAAATTTTTATGAATGAATTATAAATACAAATGTTTTGTTATTGGAAAAAAGATTTGGGAGCGGGGTTACCAGGAATAATTTCTATAAACGGTGCCATCATATTACACAATCGATCCTATAGAATAGTCTATAGACGGTTGTTAATTAACTAATTGTTAACTAATTAAAAATGGATTAAACAGCCTGAAAGTGACTTTTTCCTACAAATGTATGTTAGTATACCAGTTCAACAAAAACAAATCGAGGAAAGCCGTCTGGCTGCAAATCAAGGAATTCATCTCGCCGTCAAAATGCTATTTTAATTGCAATTTCAAATCGCAGAAGTGCAACAAAATATACAAGCAATAATCAGACAGGAAAGAAAGCCAAGTACTTACGGCTGATGCAGTGTGGAGAAACAACGAAATTAAGAGGAATATGTTAAGCCAGAAAACATTAAAGTTGGTGTCTCAGCTGTCTGAGATGGCTTAACTATGTTTTTGTTGTTGGAGGCTGTTAACGTGACGAAGTACAGTGGAACCCAAGTGTTAAAGTTTAAATTAAAGATTAAAGGTGTATTTTGAACACTTTCATTTAATTAAATTCTAAAATTAAATAATTTTGTCCTTGAGAAAAGTAGTTTAAAGTATAAAAAGTTGACTTAAAAATTGCAAATTTAGTTTAAATGTAAACTTTTAAATTGTAAATTATTTTAAAAATCTTCTATTTTAAAGACCATTATTAGAAGCTGTGCGACATTGTGACAAGAATATTAATTTGCCTAGAATACAACCACTGTGCTGCATCTTTTAGAAATTACAACAAATCACAGACCATACTCAACGCACCAAAGAGCGGCGAGTCGAGCTGCAGAGCATTAACAATAAATTCTCGCATGCCATTGTGAAATTCTCACAATAATCATAAATAATAGTTTATTTCTACTTTTTAAACGGCCTAACCGAGAGGCTGTTAATGAAGTTGCCTGCCCGCCGAGTGCGTATCTGTCTGATTTACTAACTGAGCGGAGCGGCGGTACTAAAGGAGAAATAAGCGACTAGACGGCGTCCAGGTCGAGATTCTGTCGGTGATGCTGCCTAATTAAGCAACTTTGCACAGCGAAAAAATTGTATTTATAGAAGATATATTCCTGATGGTAGATCTAATCGGGAGGGAACATGGACGAAAGTTCACACACATAAGTTAGGCAAAATATTGGTTTCTCAAAGAAGATAGAAAACATATAACTGATGCTAAATCTTATGGGACTTAATATAATAATTATAATATATTATTAGAAGAAAACACTATCTTCTCGTTGCTAAAACTCTTGGTTTATTATCCTTTAAACCTATCTTAATATCTTTTAGAAATATCAGAAACATGGGAAAATAAATAAAATGAATTTTTGAGATGGCTTTAGTTTTCCTGCTGTTAGAAACAGTTTTTCACCCGAGTGTAAACTTTGCATTTAAACTGGCCAGTCATTAAGCCAGCAGGAGGGGAAATCGTGGAGTCTAAGGTGCGCTGCAATGGGAGATGGCCGGCGTATCGCTTACCAGAGACAATTGCGGCAAAGATGCATCGGGCCGATGGGCTCAAGGGGTTAAACCATTAAAATGCACTAAGACAATATTTTGTTAGGTCGTCGCACACACTTGGGACCCAAACAGACCATCATCAATGATCGTCCACTTTGTTTGTTTATCAAGTTGGTTTACTCTAGATTTTGTCATTTCATCTTGGCCCGTGTGGAGATGCCCGTAAGTGGAGATCTCCGCTCGTTCTCCTCCCTTTATTTCGTTTTTTTTGGCACCTAATTGTGTTTACGTTAGCCCCTTGCTCCACACCAAATTAACCCATTGAGGAGGCATTTCAATTATGTTTGGATAAACATAAGCAATGGGAACATTCGTTGACAGTAATATTGCCCCAAAAAGACCGTCAAAAAACCAAAGGAAAAAATAAAAAAGACAATATAAAGTGTCCCAGGCCAGACTCATTCCGCATTTATGCTTTTGTCTGAGCGCGTTGAAAATTGTTTGGCTCAATTCTCATAAAACGAAATAAAACCAAAGTAAGAAAAAAGATCAACAACTCAGTGTTCTTGCTCTCATTCTGGTAGGCTTGTCTCCGTCTCTGTCACTCCGGTTCGAAAATGTTCTTTTTTTTAGTTTTTTAGTTTTGTATTTTTGTTGTCTGTTTCTGTGTTGTTTTTTCGAATCCATCGTGCATTCATTGTCTTGCACTAATCGCCATAAAAGATCTCGCTTTTCATCTCTTCTCGTGACGCTGCGTTGTTGATCTTGAAAATCGGCTGTAAAAAAAGAAGCCAAAACAACAGCGCTCAAATCTCCGCTCCGATTCGAAATCCAAAATAGTGAGCCGAGGCTGCCTGACGATTTGAATGGTCTTGGCCGTCTCATGATCGGAAATTGTAGCTATGTACTTGTTTGAAGAAGGGTTGCGCTTAGGGATATATAAATCGTGCATTGCGAGAAAATCAAAGTTGGTACACTAAAAGATTTCATGAAAATAGTATAGTAAAAATACGATTTTTTAGCATATTAATAAAATATTTATATAAGATTTATCAGATTTTTAATGACCCCAATAATATCACTTGATTTCCCTCGATAGCTTTATCTTTCAGTGCATCCTACTCATATTTCAATATCTTCTCCAGGCAGATTCCCAGCCCCTCGCTTAAGTGATCCATAATTTAATGAGCTTCATTCATCCATTCATTCATGCAGCCAGACCGAGTGAGAACTAGAGATTCGGAACTCCTTTTCTCGGGACGGCCAAAAAAATAAATAATAAAAGACGGGGAAAGACGAAGCCAGCGGAAAAAAGGAGAAAAAAGGTCATCTTATCATAAATAAACTGACATAAAATCAAGAATCAAATTCAAAAGCGAAGACAAGAAATCCGTGGCAACCAAAAGTACATTGTAGGGAATTACACAATAAATGAAATGCAGGCCCCAGAGTCTGGGGCTGAGTCTTCGGATTCGGGTTCGTATTCGGGCTTGGAAACCAGAGGATGGCGGATGGGAACGGGGGGACTGACAATGATTCACTGTGGAATTTTATGAGCTGAGAACATTTTGAGGCACCGCAACTGAAGAAGCTAAGTAGATATAAGCTTTATCTATTTGGTGGACTATGTAAATGAAATCGATAAAGTATCTGAGTGAACGCTTACAGATGCAACCGATCGATAGGGAAGCCTGATCAGCTGCAGCTAATAGAGTGTGAAGCCGCTGAGCGGGAATAGAGGAGAGCTTAATCTGGCCGTAGATCAAAGTCCGCGGTTCAGGTAGCGCCCGAAGATTCCCGGCCAATAAATTTCCACTAAACGGACAGCGGACAAAACGTTCGACTTAATTTCCAACTGTTTATAATTTATTTTCACCAAAAAAACCAAGGCAACCCCAATCCCCGAAAGAACAAGCCAGATAAGAATGAATCTCCGGCCGCTGCGCTTGCTTGTCGCTGCATAATTTGTCGACTTGTAGATACATTTGTAACTCTGTATCTGCTGCTCGAGTTCGTTTGAATTTCATCTCTTGGTAGCGCCAACTCCTCGGCCACTTCGTGTGTGTCTCCGCTACTCTGCTTTTATTTTTCTCTCTTTTTAGGTTTAACTTTTTATTAATGATGTGGGAACTTCTGTTCGGCGCTGAGAGCCGAACGTTGATTTCTGGGTCTGCATTAAATTTCATTAATTATGAAAAATCATTTCATTAATATCGGTTTCGTTGTTTCCCTTTTTGGCCATGTGAACGGCTCCCATTAATTGCCTTTTCTTTGGTAATTATCGTCTCATTGGAATCAATTAAAGTGGAAATGTTGAAAAACGAAACGAAAGCCACACCGAATCTATTGACATTCACAATTAGACTCGACACACTCTGCTCCATCATAATTAACATCTCGTTGAGATGCTGATAACGATGATGCTGATGATGATAAACCACCAGCGATGCAATCCGAGATCTTTTGGAGTGCAAATAATTAGGCAGGCTCAGCTGAGTTCTCACCATTTAATTAGTATGCATTTCCATTATTTATCTGTCGGCCAAGACATTCTTGGCTCGTTTTCCTCATTCCCCAACTCATTTGGGCCTTTGTAATTGTTGGGCGCGTTCTCAGCCATGTTTTTGTAGGTTTTACGAGCGCTTTTTACAACTGAAAACTGAAAGAGTCGAGTTGCGTTGGCTCGGCACTTCCACAAACTATTGTAATACATCAATATGATTATGAGGCCTGCAGCCGCAGTCGCAGTCTTCAGTGCCTTCACATCTTTTATACATTTGTGGCATGTGTTGATTTATTTGAGATTCGTTTCTGTTCTCCCTTTTGCCTTTCTGTTTGTCAAAGGCAAACAAACCGAAAACCGTTCTGTTTGTGTGATCACTGATCATTCTGGCCAAGTGCCAGAGATCGCTGCTTAATTTCTGAGTTCCTTCAAAAAGTGTTAACTTGTGTCTCGGTCTCTTCACTTTAACCATAACTCATCAATATTTGATTTCTGATCTTGCCTTCCGACAGTCACTATTTTGTTTGCATAAGCCAGAACGTGGCACGTCGAAGGTTTTTGTGTGTCAAAAAAGATATGAAAACGGATCTACAAAATTTAGGTAAAACTATATTATGAAGCTATCTTTAAAATCGACTCATTAGTCTTATTTCCAAAAATAAATGGTACGAAAAACCCCCACAAAAAAAAGGTGAATGCATCACTGGTAAGTGGATTCCTCATGCTCGGTTCCCATTCGATTTAGAACCAGACGGCACTTTCCATCGCTCTAATTGCCTTTCCCACACCCATTCTATACGTTTCCCATTACCAAAGCCACCATGCCACATTTTCACATTCACAAAGGAAACCGAGCACAAAAAAATTTGAGCTCCAATTGACAAAATCACGATTCATCGAACAACAGCGACGACAACTTAACTTTACACACATTCGCAGCTCGGAGCCAAAGACTCCTCCTGCAAAACGGCCAAATCCCAAAGAAATCCGCGAAAAAAACCAAGGATCAGTGGCTGAGAAGTGGGCGGGGGAGAAATGTTTGGCAATTGGAAGTTAGAAGTTGGCGGCAACTTTTAGGCCTTTGGGGCGTCTGCGTTGGCTGATGGAAGGAAGCTGGCCCGGCTACCTACGAGTTGCATTGTCAGCTAAGCGATCTGCAATAGGACTACACTGAGAGAAAAGTATACAGATAAAAAAAAATCAGTCATTCCGTCAATGAAATACCATATACTTCTAAATGTATAATAGTCATTGTCTATAAATTAATGTCTCAACTTACACTAATAAAATAGATAATGTCTTTAGTGATTAAATGGAATAGTTTAAACTTTTAAGGGCGGTTTTTTCGATCGTCTGTTACATTAAAATTAGGGTTAACAAGGGAACAAGAAAGATTGAATAAAAACTAACCAATACAGATATTTATCGATCCCCTTACTGTTTTATGTTTTTCTCGTCGATACTTAGTTACATAATTTTATTCCGAGTGCATTTATCCTCCACCCCTTCAGACACTCGCTCTCTCCTGGTTTTTCCCCATTTATCTGACAACTTTGAATGCGGACAAAAGAACCCGAAAGAGCCACAATTACGGTACTCGGCGTCATTTGCTGTTGTTGCCGTTTTGTTCTCTATGTTTGCTGGCTGGTTGCTATTTTTTTCTTCCCCAAAACTGTCCAAACATTGTCGGAAATTTGTTAACTTTAATTTCTATTGCCAGGCGGACAGGGCAGCCCGGCTGAAAACGGTACCAGCGCCTGAAAGTTGCGGGTGTTGGTGCATTTTGCATTTTCCCATTGTCGGCCTGTCGAAATTATGACAATCCTGGCAATGGGCTTTAACCGTTCTCCAATGGCTGGCAGTTCAACAATTCCTGAATTGTCGTAAATTTGTTTCTCAATTTGCTGGACGGCATCGATTATTTCTGTGGCCCTCTCGGTGCCACAAAGGTTGATTTATTCCCATCTCATTAACATTCGCCGGATTCTTTACAACTCTCTTATGACAATGATAAGGCCAAGAACTTACCATAAACGGAAGCGCGGTGCTGAAGTCTGAAGAAGTCTGGCATTTAAGTGGCATTTCTGAAATGTTCAAACAAATATTGAAACAGAAACTATTTCGTTTTTTTGTGGCCATCAGAACGCAGAGAAGCAGAGAGCTTTCTCAGGCATCGGAAACTAGTTGTGCGGATCGGATCACACACAAATCAATTTAACGATGCACTAGCCCAGTTCCAGTTTGAGTTTGAGTTCGCGTTCGACTTCGACTTCTCTACCGATTGGGGGTTTCATTCAGTTTATATCGCAATCGCAGGGAGCGGGAAAATGAGGAACGGGGAATCGAGCGGAGTTGACGACTTGTCGTCGGCATTGCAGCGACGACTTGGACTTCCTGTTGTCGCGTCATTATTGTCCATCATCATTTCCATTCGTAATGAGGCTAAGGCTACTAAAACGAAGTTGATCTTTAGTTCATTTAGATGCCGCCGCAGACTCAAGGAAAAAGCAGAAAAACGATAATGGCGGGGGTTGCTCCAGCGACTCCTCCGATCAGCTGTGGATCACTTAACCGCTTGTGACAATTCCCCGTGCTGCCAGTACGTACTACGTATCTATCTGGGAACCCCAGAACCCCCATCTCTATCCTAGTCCCCTGAAAACCGGCCTTAATGTATGCGACCCTCTGGCCAGATCGGGATCCACTGCCAGCGGGCTGGGCCATGTGTACAACATTTACTATGTTCGCTGACATTCTTCGCGTAATTCTTCAATTTCAATTGCATACTCCGCTAGTTCCTTCAGCTCAGCTCCAAAGCTTTAGCTTCTGCTTTGGCGGCGGCTATTGAAGGAGCTGCGAAAGGTAGTTGGAAAATGCGAGTCCTAGACTTTGCTTAATAAGTATTGTTTCTATTTTCTACTCGAAAAAAGTAGGAAAGGATAGTACATTTTTATACAAATACATCTTAAATTATTTTGGAAATTTTTAGCAAGGGTTTCTCGTTTTTATACCCGTTACTCGTAGAGTAAAAGGGTATATTAGATTCGTGCAAAAGTATGTAACAGGTAGAAGGAAGCGTTTCCGACCCTATAAACTATATATATTCTTGATCGGTATCACTAGCCGAGTCGATCTAGCCATGTCCGTCTGTCCGTCTGTCTGTCCGTCTGTCTGTCTGTCTGTCTGTCTGTCTGTCTGTCTGTCTGTCTGTCTGTATGAACGCTGAGATCTCGGAAACTATAAAAGCTAGAAGATTGACATTTTGCATGCAGATTCTAGGTGTTCCTACGCAGCGCAAGTTTGTTTCAAAAGGGTGCCACGCCCCCTCTAACGCCCACAATCGCTTATATACGATTTTAAAAATTTCAATATTTTGGAAAAGTAAAAATGCAGTTTTATTGTGTTTATCAATACCTATCGAAATGTAGAAGAAATTTTTTAAATCGGACCATTCGTTAAAAAGTTACGGCGGATCAAAGTTTTTCTCCATCTCTTTCGCACTCCCTTTAGCTGAGTAACGGGTATCTGATAGTCGGGGCACCCGACTATAGCGTTCTCTCTTGTTCATTTTAAGTTTGTTATACCATATCATTTAGATTCTGATTAGATTTTAGAAACATATGAGAGTATCGTGTTTATATCCTTAAATTTTAATTATATTCTATTTATTATAGCAATTTTGTATTCCTAATATTTAATTCTATACTGGACCTAGCTAAATACTCATCTCTGAATGGATTCTGCTTTGTTCGTTTCGTTTAGTTTTCCTTTTTGCGGACACAATTGTCGCGACATTTTTCTAGGTAAACCTCACGAATTGGCGACACGCTTCTTCTTGGCAGCTCAGCTCGGGCTAACCTGCTGATGCTGCGTGAGTTGTGGCCAGACTGGTCTTGGTCTTGCTCTTGGTCTTGGTACTGTCCTGTCTTGGCCCAACTGGCCCAACTGCGGACCAGGTTTGCCTCGACTTGGCCTCGCATCGCATCGCATTGCATCCCATTGCATTGGCATTGCCGCGCAGAGAAGAGTGAACAGCAGCAGCAGATAAAAGTGTTTATCATGTTTGCAATTATATGCTAAATTGTAATTGCAAATGTTTGCCTAAGCCGTTGAGGGCTTTTCCATTTAGCGCAGATAGACATTCAGCAGCTTCGCTTTGAAGTGTCTCGTTGTTTAAATGGATTGCTTAAACGGTTCTACCGAAGATATTCCCCTCGCTGAGAACCGGATGCGAGAGAGTAAGAGTTGCTTTTTCTATTTCTTCACTCTTCCCAGGTGCAGCAAGGAAGTTGCACTGCACAGCAGAGTTCCAAGATGCAAGTCAAGTTGGAAATTGGTTGGTAATTGATTCAGCATCTTTGTTCTGACAGTGAAATCTTTTTCAACTTATTACTGTCGAAATTCCCGAGGTAGAAAGTTCTTTGGGGGAGTATTTAGGATTGTACTTTTAAAAGAATAAAGTCACTATAAACTTACAAAACTATTAACCATTTCAGAAAATAATATTTTACAGTCTTGAATAATTCTAACAATTCTTACATGAAATTTAAATAGCTTTAACCAATTAGAACTCAAAAAAATCTATAAAATATCCTTAAAACTAAAAACACTAATTCCGAATTCTCAATTCTTAAGCTTGAAAGTTTAAACAGCTAGAGTCTTGTTAGTAAATTGTTTAGAGTCTCGTACAATTATATTGTACGCCCTTGAATTAGAATGTTAATTCGGTAAGTATATCCTGTTATATGACAAAGAACTCTGACAGCTTCGTACAACTGATTAATTTGTTAGCCATTCACCCGAAATATTCTCATTCCATCGGTTTCGTAAATTGCTTTTGACAGAAAGCTAGTTATGTGATGGCTGTTGTAATTTCTCTTTTGTGGCACTTTATGATCCAACTCAATTGCGCCCACCTAAATGCTGGGGCAGCGGTATCATGCATCATGCAAACATTGCGGGGCCATAAATTTCTTACCAACTGACCTCGGCTGGCATCAACACTCCATCAGAGAGCCCGGCACTTAATGCCCACCCAAAAATGGCCATGATGATGACGACTCCGAAGAGGGAGTCCAAGAGTCCAAGAGCAAGACAACGACAACGACACCACATCAAGTGCCTGGGCAAGCGGCATATAATGGTGCATCCAAAGTGCAGCTAATTTAAGGAAACGCTCACTCAACGCGACACCAAAACGCATGCGCCGCCGCCGAGATTGAAGCCGCAACTCTGGATGCCATCATCGCCGTGGACGCTCCCAGCATCCAGCTCTTCCCGATCCGTTCCCCAACCTTTCTCCCGGCCAAAAGCCTACACCAATATGGAGGCGTTTGCTGCACCGGCGCGTGACGTTCGGTGTCCACTTTTGGTTGTCAAGCAAATTACATATATGATTTTTATGTGACAAATGAGCTTAAGATGCTGTCGCTGATGGGGCAGTTCGGTTTGGTTTGGCTTGGCTCGGTTCGCTTCGCTTTTCGTTTAGTATTTCGTCTGTTGGCAGCTCTCAGTCTAGAGATGATAACGTGATCTTGAACAATGGTTTTGGGATTATTTATTTATTTTGATAATAAGAACTTTTCTCAAACGTGAAATGTTTATAAACTTTAATTTTTAATGATGTTGACCTTGTATTAAAATCATCAAAAGTCCAGAGTTTTTAATAGATTTTTGAAAACCTACATGACGTTCTTGAAAACTAATGCAACTTATTTCTATATTCTAAAGATTCTAAATTAGTTAATCTATCTACATTTTAAAACAGATAATAAAAAAATATCTCAACTCAATAAGGTTGTTATTTGTAAATCTCTTGCTAAGAGTTTTGTTTCAGTGATGAAGTTTTTTCGAATTAATTTTAAATATTTTAATGAAATATTTTCTATCTCTTAGAAAACAATCGTAAGAGTTAAGAATATTTGTTCTGGCATACAAATTCAATTACCTACTTACAATATTTTTTATTGACCACCTTAGCTTTCTAAAACCGTTTGTAAAACTCAATTATCTTTCACTGCCATCACGGACTCCTCTCTAAGCGGCTTCTTGCATCCCGGAACACGCTCTTACCACTTTGTTAGCCCAGACGGACGGACACACTCACGCACATCGAACATCGACACAGTGACACATATAGAAGATGTTTTTGTGTGTTTTCCATTTCGTTTTATG